TAACACTGGATTTCCCTAGAATTATATAGGATTTATATATTTTACAAAACATTACTTAAAATCCTACTTTGATTACACCCCCTTAGTATGCAGTATCCGTTTGAATAATTTTGTAAATGAAGAAAAAGTTTCACCAAACTCAGTCTAACTTTATGCATAAATTAATCTAATTCATTATGTATAAGAGAGAAGATATTGTGTCTATAATGATTTTATATATCCGAACTATTTATTTTTTATATATATATTAAATATATTTACCCAATTCATGTATCCTTTATCAGCTAATATAAAATCCAACACTTCCATAATTATGTACCCATTAATTGGTGTTGGAAATATTTTTAATCTAGCTGAATTCATTTTAATATAGCAGAGTTTTGCGTTGATGTTGAATGACTATATTTAGTTATATGTTGAAACCTTTTTGGACATCAAATAATTACGGCATAATTAATTGATCTAACTGCGGAATTAAATAATCATATTGAATACGACAAATCTAATTGAACTGCTAGGAAAGTAAAGCACTTCATGTGGCAAGCTTTATCTGGATGCATAGCAACTTGTAGTCGCTTAACAGATCGCCATTGTGGTCGAGATAGATCATGCCCGCGTTGTGGTGCAGAAGAGGAATCGATAAATCATCTCCTGTTTGAATGCCCTCCTGCCTTGCAGGTATGGGCTCTCAGTAACATTCCTACAATTCCGGGGTCTTTCCCGAGTACCTCTCTTTTTGCCAACATAGATCACCTTTTATGGAGAACAAAGGAGCAAGGAATTGCTGAAGAATTTGTAGAATGCTTTCCATGGATCCTATGGTTCATCTGGAAAGCTAGGAATGAGAAAGTTTTCAATAACAAGGACATCCGACCACCGGTGACGTTAGCTTAGGCAGTAGCAGAATCTATGTCATGGAAAATCGCTCAAACCATGGAGGACGAACTAGATCAGGACAAGGATGGAGAGCAGGCATCTGAGGCTAGAGTTTTGGCGCGAGACCTATACGCGGGTATACGATGTCAATCTGATGCGTCTTGGTCCAGCGATGGAAAGAGTGCGGGACTAGGCTTCTTCGTGAGTGGAGGAATTTGAAACGGATTGCTCAGAACTCATTAAACTCATTGATCAAGCGGAGGAATGACCAGCCTTTTCCACGGAGTTAGATATTTTCACAACTACAAAAGCGAAATTCTTTCATTTCTCGATTTCTTTTATTTCTAGGAATAAGAATATCCGTGCAGATTCTTTAGCAAAGAATGCGAGGTCACGAGATATTTTGTTTTCCCATGTAAGCTCACATTTTCCGGTTTGGATGGCTCACGAGGCCATCCTCTTTGATTCAGCTTAATAAAATATGGAGCTTTTGATGTCAAAAAAAAAAAAATTGAATACGACGAATCTACTTGAATACGACATATTTTTATTTATACGAGATTCATGTAGTTTCTAGCTACATTTATGTTATATTCTAAAGATCTGTTAGTACTACTTGTTATCTAAACATTTATCCATATTCAATTAGATTCAACTATCGAGCACACAAA